CGTCACCAGCCATGACCCGACTGCATAACTGCTCGCATTGCTTCTGGACGTCTGCCAGACCGAGGAGAAGCTCGGCGCCCGCGCGGCCCTCCGACCCCAAGTCCGCCGGCCTGGAGCCCCGGCTTCCCCCTCCCGCCGGCAAGCCGCTGCCGATGGGGCTCCGGAGCGGCCCCAACTCCCTTCCGTGCAACAGCCGTTCTCAGGGGTCGGGGAGCCGCCGCGGGGAAGCACCGCAATGAGGGCGCGTGGTCCAGGCGCCGGCAGCAGGATGCCAGCTCCAGTCGGATGCAACATGCCCTCCCGGCCGCCGCTCGCCGCTCCCTCCCTCCTCCCCTCCCTCGCCACCCCGCCCCCTTCCCAAATAACTACCCTGGAACCACTTTATCAGCCGCGCCGCGTCCCGCACTCGCTCCGGGGAGGGGCGGGGGACGGGGGCCTCCGCTCACCTTTATTTATTGCTGCTTTCTCCCCCCTCTCCATGTTTTTTATTCCTAAGTTCTTTTGTTCTAAGGGGGATGATGGCATTTACTTTTCTGCTTTGTGTAGCAGGGCAATCACGGGGAATCGGCCACGTAGAATCCGGCGGTTTGTCATATTTTATTAGTGAAAGTATTTTATGCCTAAGTCTACCTCCAAGGACTGTAACATGGAGAACTGCAGGGAGGGAAAAGAAAAACACACACACACAACACACACACACAACAACAGCAGCAGCAGGAGAATTCTTGTTTTGAGAGGTTTCTTGGCGGGGTGGAGGGGGTGGGGGGAGGGCCTCTTATTTTTTGGAGGGGGTTGATGTAGGTTTTTGTAATCGATAGTTTTCAACTTAAAGCTTAATGTGTTTGTATAGCTACACTACTGAATGCTAAAATAATCCCAAACCGCAATAAAGAAAAAAGTCCAAAACACTCGATTAAAAAAAAAAATCCTTACTGGGCAGTGATATTATCTGTCCTGTGCAGCACGCTGGACTTAACATAGTGTTGGCCTTCGAATGTTAAATAACAATAAACCTCAACCTCAACTGAATACAAATGGGGGTGGGGGTGGTTTTGTTTTTAAGGCTCAGCACTTTTGTAGCATCTGCCACTACGCATTTTCCAGGCATTGATTAGCCATGCAACTCCCACAGGCATGAAGTCCAGTTTCTGCAGATGAAGAGCAACAGTGGTGAGATGATTTGCCCAAAGTCAAACTGAGTCATTGGCAGAACCCAGGCTCTATTTATTACTAGTCTCATCTTTTCCATTGAAATAGTATTTCCTCCAGGAAGTAAACAGTATTTCAAAATAAGTAGACATTCTTTACCTACCTCCACCAGAGGTGCTTTGAGATCCGTGGATATGAAGGTATTTTCTTACTTCTGTGACCTGCAAAATTAACTTTAGTTTCCCAGGAAAAAGCTATTTTTAAAAATTCTGATTTCTTAAAGCTAAAAACTAAAGTATAGGTTTTATTTTACATGTGTAGGCCATTTCGCACTTGCAGCTTTTCGTTGAAAAAAAAATTCACAGCAGAGAAAGTGTCTAAGAGTTTGAGAGGGAAAATGAAAATCCCTATAAATGATTCAAGAAGCCTGGATGAACTCATAATGTTGTGAAACTAAACCCATAACGCAGACAAGATGAATAACAGGAGGACAGGCTGGGCAGTAAGACCGGGCTTTACCATCTAGAGATAACTCTAATGTATTTAGATGAGAGAGGGAGGCGGAATTTCAAGCTGGACTGACGAATGGTGTCATTTCAAATCAGCCCTGGCGGTCAGAATTTTTTTCAGAGCAATATTGCTGTAGTGTTCTTTCTAGAAAAAAGAGTTCAAAATTTTTTCAGAGTTTCAGAGAAAAAATTCAGAAGCCCAAATTGCACCTGAATGTATAAATGACATAGAACAGGGATCAGCAAACTATTTTCTGTAAAAGCCCAGATAGTACATATCTTAAACTTTGCAGACCATCCAGTTTCTGTCACAACTTCTCAACTCTGCAATTGTAGCACAAGAGCAGCCATAGAAAATATGTAAACAAATGAGCCTGGCTGTTTATTTATAGGCTTTGACATTTGAATTGTATGACTTTTCATGTGTCACAAAATCATACTTTAATTTTTCAACCATTAAGAAAACATTAAAAAACTCTTAGCTCATGGTCCTCACAAAACCAGGAGGTGGGCAGGATTGGGCCATGGGTGGTTGTTTACTGACCTGGCTTTAGAAGACTGAAGTTCATTCAGCTGCTGCACTTCTTGTACCAGAGGTTGCTTGGTTCCTAAGATGTTTGTATAGCACTCAAAAGTCAGTGTCATGCAAAATCATGTTTTAGATATTTACACTTAATTAAAATATTTAACCGAATAATTGTCTAACACTCCTATACCTATCAAACTCTATGGAAAAGAATACTCTAGCTTGTGAGTCATTGATAGACCAAGTTTCTATTGACATACTCTTCCTCACTCTAGGATGGTGAACAACGGAACCAAGCAGACCTGGGTTCCAACACGTAGGAAGTATCATCACACCTTTTCAACTAAGGCACCTTGGGCAAGATACTTAACCTCTCAGTCTCCCTATTTTGTAAAATGCAGCTATTAATACCTACTTGGTAATGCTGTTGAGAAGATTGAATGAAATAATTCATGAAAAGTGCTTAGCACAGTGCCTGGCACATGGGACTGCACAATATATCTTTCTCTGTGACCTCAAGTTCATTCTCTGAGTTAACGTAACTCTGGAGGAGGTGAACATGTGGAGTTCCAATATCTTGTCAGTGCAGGTGTGGCATATGGGGTCCAAAGAGTTTCGGGGTGATTCAAGTTTGTGGGGTTGGTATTAAGATATATTTTGGTGGGTCTTTCTCAGCTCTAGGCATGCCTAAATAGACACACACTTAGGCCTTCTGAACCCCGGTGTTTCTCATACAGAAAGATAATACCTGGTGGAATTTTTGAAAGGGCTAAATGGCATAAATGCTAAAGAAAAAATGTAACAATTAGTATAAGTTAGTGAAAATCCCAGAAAAAAAGCTGAAAATTGCAAATTTACAATCAGAAGTTTCTTTGAGGCGAATCATTCAACTTTTAGACATGAATGACAATAGCAGGTGCTCAATAGAATTTGCTCTCCTACCACCTAATTACCCTCCAAAACCATTTACCATCCATAAAACCGTGTTGAGCAAAGTTAAAAATCCAATTTTGAATGTTATTAAACACTGAAGTGCAGTTTTAAATATTTATAAAAATCGTCAAATCTGTTAGTGTTTTCCTATATATTCCTGCCTTCCATTCCATGCTTCAGAGGTCATCCAGTGTCTAAGAGTACAAAACACCTACAATTTTCTTCCTGTATTTTCATGGTTTCTATCTTTTACATTTACCTTATTGATTTTATATATATATATATATATATATATATATCAGGAGCTAGGAACTTTTGTTTGATAGAAAATATATAATTTATATTGGGATTCTATTGGATGATGTAAAATGTCATTTAAAATGATATAACAGCTAGCTCTCTATAAGGACTATCAGTCTAATGCAGAGACATTGTAAATATAGGGGAAAATATAATGGAGACATTATACTATTTACAGTATTAATAGAGGCATTATGTATTATAATGGAGAATGAAGAAGTTTCTTCTAGATTTTCTTATTTTACACTTTTGTAGTAGCATAGTATACACCATAGCCATGGATACATGGCATTTTTATACTTGTATTTGTATATGTCTATCTCGGATGTTCTGGAACTTGACAGTATTTCAAAGTAATGACCCCTCCCCTCACAAACTAATTGAACAGCTTTCTCATGCAGCTCCCCTGTCCGTGCTTCACTCAACCACTGTCCTTTTTTCTACTCCAGGCTGAAAAGTAATCCCATTATCTCTTAAAAGGTCAACCTAAAGAAGATTTGAAGTCTGTCTGGAAACCTGAGGGTCCCACTTCTTTACGGAGGCAGGGAGGTAACTATTAGAGTTCATCAACTCTTCTTTTCTAATTCTTATTGGGCTGGAGTAAATGAAAACCTGGTTGTAACAACAAAGTGCTTTAAAAAGTAGAGGAGTCATATCAATGTGATTTTTAAAGAATTATGACAGAAAATCCCCAGTGACTAGCAGAAGTTGAGTGTATGTTCTTTCTCTCTACTGTCTCAGTGGTTTCTGATCTTTAAAAAATCTTCACATTAACTGCCCTGTGTGTACATTTATGGTAAGTCAAAATCATAATTGGAAACGGGTCAGGTAACTTGTAAATAAATAAATATTGGCAGATAAGCAGTAGACTCTCTGGAGAATACCTTCAATTGCATTACTTTGCCATAATCTCCAAGGTCAATTTAATCCTAAGCAACTTCAGGTAGGTGTGTGTGTGTGTGTGTGTGTGTGTGTGTGTGTAACAGAATTAACTAGACCAGGGTTTCTCAACCTTGGCACTACTGACATTTGGGGCCAGATACTTTTTTGTTGTGGGGGCATTGTGGAATATTTAGCAGCATTCCCGTCCTGTACCCACTAGATGCCAAGAGCACCTCCCCAACAGTTGTGACAGCCCAAAATACCTCCAGACACTGCCAAATGTCCCATTTCTTGTGTGTGTGTGTGTGTGTGTGTGTGTGTGTGTGTGTGTCGGGGTGGTGGTACCATTGAACTAGCCCAAACACCATAGACAGATTTAAGTGTGCATTTGTCAGTGTGTGACTCTGCCCTTCACAGGAGCAAATCCCAATTCCTTTTCCAGAAGTAATTGATGTAGATCAGGGGGCCTAGGCTGAACCTATTGTGAAAATCTAAAACGGTCACAATTAAAGCTCTAGACATGTCTGCCTTAAAGCTGCTGAGCTGCTAAAAGAATCACAGGGAGAGCCTCCGAGAATGGGGATGTTAAAAGAATTTTATCATCTTGTATTTGCACCTTTAGTTTATCTATTATCAACATAAATAAATTGTATTGTGGGCCTGAGCAGTGACATTATCTAGTGGAAGGTATTCCCAGATTTGGAGTCTGAGAACCTGAGCTGGGGTCTGAGCTCTGCAAATGTCTATCTAATCACTTTATCTCTCTGCGCCTATTTCCTTGTCCAAAATGGGGAAAACAACAATGTTTAACCACTGCATTGTTGTGAGGGTCCAAGCTGTTAGTGAGAAGTGCCAGGGCTTGTTCTTGAGGAGTCAGGAACTTTGGATTCAGACAGTCTTGGGTTGACTTTGGGCAAATGATGCACTGTTGTAAGCCACAGTTTCCTTATGTGCAAAATGCAGAAATAATCATATGCCTTCATAGTGTTGTTGTGGAATTAAATGACATAATATATGTCATACATGCTGTATAGATATTATTTTGGTCTTTGGTAAATTGTATCACATTGTACAAATGCATATAATTTTATCATTATTTCTTTTCTATGAGCATGGAAACCTGGAAATCTGAAGAACAAGTTGATGCACCTATATGAGTGAAACCCTGTGATACAATGTAACATCCCAAATTCCAACCAAGTGAAAGCAGCATTCAACAGTGTGCAACCTTCTATCTTCCGAGTTAAATCAGGCCACAGGTTTGTTGCAACAACATAAGGTTCTCCTCCCCTTATTGAAATAATGTTCTAATAAGTTTTTTACAACCTCTGTATCACATAAAACACATGGGGTCAGGCAGCATGCCCAGCTAGCACAATGTATGTCCTGTTCTGAACATTTAAATCTGACCAGGTGCTGTTGCAATATTCACCTTCCCCAAGAGCATTGGCAAATGGCATTGCAGCCCTAAAATGAGGTGCCAGGAGGTGTTTTCTAAGTTAAAATATAAATAAGGGGATCTAGGGGTATCTTTTACATAAACTTTTTAATTAAAGTATAACTTTCATATGGAGAAGTGCACAAATCACAAGTTGTGCATTTCATTAAATTTTCACAAAGCAAACACACCTATGTAATTATTAAGTGTTTTTAAAGTTGAGAACTCTGTATTAAACATGTTTTTTATCATTAGAAAGGTAACAAAAAGTTATAATGAATTAAAGCAGTGGAGATTTCCAGAAAAGATAGCAAATGACTGTGCTGGGCAAATGTGATTTTGAATTCTCAAATGAAAATAATTGCAAAATGATAAATGGCCAAATGTCATATCACCTTCTATTACTTGATATGTAGATGCTAGAAAATTAACTTAAAGGGCCTCAGTCTTCTCATCTGTTAAATGGGGATAATAATGGAATTGTTTTTAGGATTAAATGAAATAACACTTGCAAAGGTTTGGATTAGTTCTGGCACATAAGTTCTCAATAATATAAGTTATTACCCATTTAGGACAGTGTCCTAAGGGACCATAAGAAGGAAGTTACAGAGATCTCAAGAATTCTTTTTTAAAAATAGGGGAAATTCTGCACAGAAGGAGAGCTGGATCAGAATAGCTAAGGGCCGCCGTCACTGAGCCCGAGGACCAGCAGGGAGGGTCGATCTGTGGTAAAGTCTAGAGAATGAAGCCTGAGAGAAACCAGGGTACCTGGAGGTGGCAGGCAGGGTGATGAACCAAGAAGCTGTAAAGACAGTGCAGTTCTGAACAGAAAGCCACAGGGTGTACCCAGCATCCAAACAGGACATGACCTGATTTTTCAAAGACCAGAGTGAGGTCTAGGAGTGATTGTTTGGTGTGGGCCTAGAGAGAGAGAAAAGAAAGAAACAGCAGCTACTAGAAACATAATCCCAGGAATCAGAGCCTTGAAAGGGGCTTCGTTTAAGACTATATTCAAGACCAAGGGACTAGAGCATCTTATAACTTAAGAATGACCTCAACAGTAGATCTTAAGGCCTAGCATTCCTTCATATTGAAACAAGATGTAATTCTGCACTTGAATCAACTTGGATCCTGAATAAGAGAAAGAGATAACTACTAAGAAAGAAAAGAATGGAGGGAGGCTGAGTCTCAGAACACAGGCATGGCAGAGAAATCTCTCCCTCTGGATGATGACAACTGAGGTTACCCCAAATCCAGCCAGCAATCAGATTTGTCACGGCTTCATTATCCCAATCTTGTAAATGACCTATCATTGCTCTAAGGGTCTTTGAAAGGAGGCAATTTGGTTTCTTTTCCCTTGATTGGTTGTAGGAGATGCATCAGTGTATAAGATTCAGCAAGGTAATTTTGGTGAATAACTGTGACCCAGTGTTCTCACTTTCAAGAAACATCTGTCACTGATGGATGAAGAGTATGAAATAACCAAGCCAGGGATGGTAAATATGTGGCCTGTGGGTTTCTGAGAGCCTGAACTTGGCCTCAGAATCCTTCTCAGCACAGTGCCTCAGGCAGACATTACCAACTGTTTGGAGTTTGCTCAAGAGAGAAACCCATTTTGTCATACCTGGATTTACCCCTCATCCCTTGCTATAATCAGTGCACCTATCTATCCTACCCAGTAATCCCAAAGCCCAATATAAAGGGTATCAGATATGAAATCTGCCTGACTCCAACCCTATACATTTAAAATAAGCCCTGGGTGGGTAACAATTGCTTCTCTATTTAAGGACCTGTTCTCATATTTCTGAGTTTATAACTGACTTATGACCTATAAATAGTCACATCAACCTCAGTGCTGAATAATTTACGTAGTGAGGTCACGCTCTCTGGATGAACCTGACACCCATTAGTGTTAGAGTAATCAGCCATGTGCAGCCAAGCTAGAACACATGGAGAACCACACCTCCAAGACAGGAGTGGACTGGCAGAAGGCTTAGATTGTATACCCTCCTTTACGCCCGTCGGGCCAGTATTTCTCTTTAGCTTCATTTTCTTCCCCTCTAAAATGGGATATTATTTTCCCATAGGTGGCAACATTAGGAGAACTATCAAAATAATAGTTTCAAAGGTTCTCAAGCTCAAAAACTTTAGACTCAAAGCACTATTTCTGTAGCTATAGTCCTCTTTGATGAAAGCCATCACAATGAATGAGATTGATCATTTGTGTTTTACACTTCAGTACATAAATAAGCCAAATCTCTTCCAAACTCTAGTTAATGAGATGAAAGAAAGGTTGTTAACAGCTTTTGGGTACAGTCCATGTTGTTCCCATCCATAAAATGGGCACACCATACATCTCATTTCCCTCTCCTGTAGAGAACTAATAAGAGAAGTTGCAAATGAATGAGTGTACTAAAAACTGGTGCTGTCAGTGAAAGAAAGAGGAATTAGTTAAATTTTAATTTTAAATTAAAATAACACCAATCTACCATCCCAGCACCTGGATTGGTTATTAAAACCAGGGGTAGTAGTGGGTTAGGGACTTTGTGCTAAGAATTGCATTGGTGGTATGGAGAAACAGTATGTTCTCCTAACACTGAGAACAAGAATTTAAAAACATGAAGCATTTTCCAGTAGCCACTTGGGGACTGCTGACTCCCCAGAGGTGCAGGGGTTACGAGTCTCTGAGCCACAAACACTTTATTTTAATACTACTTCCTCAATTAGCATAAGCACAAACTTATTATTTTTCCAAGTACATTGTGTTGTCGCTGTTCGTTTAATAGAAAAGAAAAACTCATTCCAATTCAATCTGGATGAATATTACATTTCCTTTGATAAACGTCAGTGGGCTGATGGGAACAGACCCATTCCAAGCTGAAATGCTGGGACCTAAGCTTTGTGACTAACTGTGCCTAAAGACAGCTCATTTCATCTGGGAGTGTCTTCGCCTCAGCAGTCGAGGCAAAACCAAAAAGATCACAGCACAAAATCAACTGAGAGCCTGACAACATTAACGCAGCGAGCTTATGCTCATCTGTTATTGGAACTTGAGTCAATTTATACAAATGTTGTTTTAAGGGAAAATGCTTTGTCTGAGTCATTGTGAATAACCAGAAAAGGCAAGCAAACAAACAAACAGAAATAGAATAGCAGGTAATACAAGCGGGCTATCCTTCCAACCAAATTTTAGATCAAATTAAAGTTTCTCATTTTTTTATTTACCAAATTTACAATTTCAGAGAAAATTTATCCTCATTGCTGATTGGATTTCCACTGACCAATAGCTCCCAGAGCTTTAAATCTGAAATTTTCTGCCTTTTCAGGTGCACTTAGTGGTTTGACACATTGGGGTGTCTTAAATTTCTGTGAACTGGGAATCCAGATTCCAGTTCTGCTACTCACTGGCGGCACACTTTAAAAAGTCATTGGTTTAACAGGTTTCAGGGTTTTTTCATCTTTAACATAAAAATAGTTGTATCTTAGCACACCAGGATAATTGGGGGATTTAAAACAGGGATCTCTAAAATTTTCCTAATGAGTTTTTCTCCCATGAAGACTTATTGTTAATAATTAACAGTAAAAAGAACAGTTGCCATGTACTAAGCATTCTGGGTCAGATGTTTTGTACAGACTTAAAATAGATAAGAAAACTGAGCAGAGGTGTTAAGTAAATTACCTAAAATCACATAAATAGTAAATGGCAAACCTGGGATTCCTGCCCACGGCTATTCAGATTCTGGTTCTGTTTTCTAATGAGAATTCCATGAGCCAAAGGAATGACTCAGGCAAGGCTTTCAGAAGAATGGATGGATCCTGAGACAGGGGTCTCTAAGGAAGAGCAACTAACCTTCTCCTTTGGCAAAAAAGAGAAGCAAGTCTCTGTCACAGGTAGGAAGACACATGATATGATGGAAGATGTGGGATTTGGAGTCAGATTGGCCTGGGTGAGAATCTTGGCTAAGTTACTCCTTAGCTGAGGGGCCTTGGACAGGTTATTTATCCACTCTTAACCTCATTTTTCTCATCTGTGAAATAGGGATAATCATACAGTGTTGTTTCAGTGGTTAAAAATAATCCATGTAAAGTGTCTTGCACATAGTAGGCATGCAATACGTGGCAGGCAAAATATAAATCCTTTCATAAGTACTTTGGCAGCATTTCCCAAAGTGTGTTATTAATAAGCATTATGTAATAAAAAGAAAAAAAAGATTAAAGCAATTTTAAGTGAGGGGACAATTAGTCAAGTAAATCTGAGAGAGGCTGTTAAGCAAAGTTAAACTGCTTATTTACTGCAGGACTTCTTAGAGCAGCGGTTCTCAACCTGTGGGTCGCGACCCCTTTGGGGGTCAAACGACCCTTTCACAGGGGTCGCCTAAGACCATCGGAAAACACATATATAATTACATATTGTTTTTGTGATTAATCACTATGCTTTAATTATGTTCAATGTGTAACAATGAAATTGGGGGTCACCACAACATGAGGAACTGTATTAAAGGGTCGCGGCATTAGGAATGTTGAGAACCACTGTCTTAGAGTCTTTAAATTACAAAGATGCAATAGGATTCTCCAAGAGGAAGCATTTTCCCAATTTATTTGATTATATAGCCCCATTTTTATGGGAATCTTACAGGACTGGTGTTCTTGGATCACAGGTTAGGAAGCACAGATCTGGTGAGTTTTGGAAGAAAAAGTTGGATTCCTCAGGTCCAGCCATCATTTAGCATTTACTAGTTTGTGGTACCTCCAGAGCCATCTCTCATCTCCATTTATTTCTCCCTAAAGTAGGACTTCCCCTTTTTACAAATGTCACAGAATGAAGCTCTAAAGAGTGATTTCCAGCTTCCATTCAAGTGAAAAGTTCAGCTCCCAACAGGACTAGGCAACATCCACAAAGCAAACCAAGCAAGACCCACGGGACCAAGGCATTATTGGGCCTCTCAGGATGCAGGACACCGCTCCTCCTTCCCTCCAATCAGAGAAGCTTAAAAAGTGCAGGTTACTCCACAGACCACCAGAAGGTACAGGCATGGAGAAAAGAGACTCTGCCACATACACAGAGAATAAGAGGTCAGCCCATCCAAAGTGACTCTGCCTAGGCTCCTGTCATTGCACTTGTCAAAGGCCAGCCCAGCCCATGGAGGGGGGAAAGAATTGAAGAGAGGATCAGCTTTTTATTTTCATGTAAAAAGCACTTGCCCCCGGGTTATAAATGTTATTGCATTTGTGTAGCACTTTACTGCTGCCCTCAGCTTGCAAGCATCACAGGATCCCAGTGGCAGTACTTTTATAACCCTTGATCAATAGCTTATTTCTATCGCCTTCAGTCCCAGCTGCCAATCCGTTCTGTATAATGTGGAAGGCAGACTTCGCTGCTCTCCAGCTGTACATGTTATGAATGTAAACTGTGAGAGTAACATATGTATGTGTGTGTGTGCATTGAGTGGGGGACATGGGAATTTTGAACAAGGAATGACAAAAATGGACCCCTTGTTCTCGGAGACTACCACAAAGCTGGGGGTTTTACTAATGAATCTCTCTCTCTCTCTCTCTCTCTCTCTCTCTCTCTCTCTCACTCTCTCGGTGAAAGGTGGTATGGAAAGATGTAAGTTCCAAGAAAGAAAGGGCCATAGTTGTCGTTTATCACCCTCGGATTCCCAGCACCTAGAGGGAACCTAGCACAAAGTAAGTGCTCAGGAAATATTTGTGGGTCTGGTTGGCAATGGGAGGGGAGGAAGAGAGACCCAGAACATTCTCCTGAGGCTGCTTGAGCAGAGAAAGGATGAAGGCTTCGTGTTGCCCACAGCACTGGGGACCACAAACAGCACTGTGTGTCCGCTTGCTTTAAGGCTCGCTGCTAGGCACCATGGGCATCAGAGAAATAAGATGACTAATGTAACCAGCTACTGCTGTTCTGTACCTCCCCGGAGCACAGCCAGCCAGGCAACCCCTTAGAGGGCAGATACTCCCCTCACCTTCATCCCCCCATCTCAGAAGCCAGTTTTAGGACCAACCCACTCTAGGAGAGGCCTTGAAGTAAGACCCCAAGGCTCCCCAACATTCTCCAGCGCCAGCAAACTGACTCTGGCTCGCAGTGAGGCAGCCAGGCCTGCCCTTGTCTGAACCTGCGTCCTTGAGACTCAGCCAAACCTCTCCGGGCTTGGCGGAGGGATGTTGAGGTGACATTCTTCTCCTGCCACTCAGCATCTTTTAAACAGTCCTCCTCCACCTTGGGAGAGTACGCATGAACTCACAGGAGACTGGGGCCATGGGAGCTGAAAATTCCCTTTCTCTCTCAGAGAGGAATTCGTCGCAAGTGAAAAAACACACCTCCCATGAAAAATCAGAATCTGGGATGTCGGCAAGTTCTTTCTGGCGAAGTTCTTTTGGTTGCCAGTGGTAGAGTCCACGTCAGGCGGAGTTCGTGAACAAGGGACTTCGCTGGGAGGATATCGGGGTGTCTCAGGGGGCTGGGAGGACCTGGCCCCATGCCCTGGAAGGGGTGGGAAGGAGGATCAGTGACTGCCCATGTCTGCCTGCTGCCAGCTGCACTAGTTTCCTCCTCCTTGGGCTCAACCCGAGTTCACAGCCTTGGGGGTGGGGGGTGGGGGGGAGGAGCAGGAGGTTGGCACAGGCCCTTTTGGCTCTGGACCACACCGCCTGTAGTGCACCGTGAATTAATATTTTTAATAAATCCTGTAATTATCCTGTGAACAGAACATTTTTGTGGCACTATATTTTTGTGTTAAAAGCATTAATTTGTTCAATATAAACATTAAATATACACCATCCTTTTTGTAACCTTGTTTCTTAATGCACCAGGAACCTCACGAAATACTAGCGGGCTCTAAGGCCCCAGCTAGGAGGTGCGCTCCGCTCTGTGTAAACCACCCCTTCCCCCGCCCCCCACCAGACCCCCAGGGTGGCCAGCCAGACCGCAGCAGCTCTCAGGCCCAGCTCCCAACGTCTAGGAGACAGACTCCGCCCTGCTCTGCGTGGGCCAGAGGTTCACCTGGCTCAGTTTGCCGTGATATTGCAAGAAGAAAAAGGGCTTGTTATGCTGGACAGACAGACACCCCACAATGTATCTACTATACTGTCAACTTCGTGGGTTCACCCTGAGCAGATGCCCAGATGCTGCCAGTCTCCAGCTGGGCAGGCAGAGGACCCCACAGGGATGTGGAATCTCGGGAGGAGGGTGGGGCTCACCTTGGAGCTCAATTTTCATAAGACCCTGCTTTCTCCAGTCTTGTCTTTCTAGTTTTTCTTTATGTTCTGATTTTTTTCTTTATTTGTAATTTACTATTTTATCATATATTTTCTTTTGAGTCAAAATCCTTTGTGGCCCAAAAGGCAAAAATAAATAACTAAATAATGTCAGGGTTTGTATTTAATGGCATCAAATCAACACACTTCTTGGATCCTAGCTGTCCTTCCTTCCTTCCTTCCCTCCCTCCTTCTTTTCCTCTTTCTTTTGTTTTTTAAGAATAACATTTTTCCATAAAAGCAACATGAATTATCTTTTTAAAAATATGTTTAAGCAGGGAAGTATGACCATAAAATAAAAATCATTCAAATGCCCGCCAAACCCCACCCCCACAAGCCCCCACCCTAATCCAAGCGATAACTGCTGTTAACATCTTGGTGTACAACTTTCCAGGTAATTTTCAATAAAATTAACCCCATTTTTAAAATACCCTACTATAACATTGACTCGTATCATATTTTTAAACTTAGCAATATATATCTTTCTTTTTACATCATTGTATATTATTCTGGAAACATTTTATTTCTGAAACTGGAATCAGCTTTGTTATTTTGATATATAAAATATTCAACCAAAACAGAGAAATAAAGGTTCCCTCTCAATCCCACTTCCTGAAGATAATCACTATTATTAAAAAAGAAACCCTTCAAGTTTATATATATATATATAATATATATATATATAACGTTTACATAAACGGAGTCATAGCACATAGTGTTTTGTAATCTGTTTTTCCTACTTATCACTAGATCATGAGTATCTTTCCATGTCAATACATATAATGCATCATCCTTCTTAATGGCTACATAGAATTCCATCTATTGAATAAATGTTCATAATTTAACTAATTACCTATTGTTGGAAACATTTGAGTTATTTCCAATTTTTTTACTATTATAAGGAATACTACACTAAACATCATTGTGTACACATTTTTATCATGTCTGATTATTCCCTTAGAAAGAATTCCTAAAAGGAAAATTGCTGAGAAATACAGGATACATCTTTTAAAATTTGATTCATATTAAGTAGTTCTGTAGAAAATTGTACCAATTTACATTTCACCAGCATGTATGAGATAAGATGATTCTGCACACCACCCCCAGCATTGGCCATTATCACTCTTTCTTATCCTTGCCAGTATGATGGCTAAAAAATAATATTTTATTGTGGTTTCAATCTGTAAGTCTTTCATTATTGGTAAGATTGAGCATGTTTTTATACCTTTACTTGTCAGTTGAATTTCATTTATGAATTATCTGTTTATGTTCTTTGCCTGTTTTATTTTATTAAAGTATTCTCTTATTTTCCTATTGGTTAGTAAAAGTCATTTATATATTAAGACCATTAGCCTTGACATCTATGTTGCAATTATTTTTTTCTCATTGTGTCTTTTGCCATAGAAAGTTTTTATTTTTACGTATTTGTATCAGCCCTAGGAAAAGAAAGTCAAGTAGCAGGGGCTTAAATCATAAAATATTAACAATGTAATTAACCTGAAATCCAGAGGTATGTGGTCTCAGAACTGGTTTGGTGGTTCAGAGATGTCACCAGTCTCTACACCTTTCAGAGTTCCCATCTACAATGTGTTGGCAGTGTCTCCCCTTGTAAGATGAGATGGCTGCTACACCTTCAAATATTACATCGTCATACTCCAATCTAGAAGAAAAAGGATGGGGACTTTTTTTTCAGCTCACAGATCTGTTATCTCACCAGGAAGGAAAATCTTTCCCAGTAGTGCCCAGCAGATTTTTATTTACATCTCATTGATAACCAGTAATGTCTGCCAAAATAGTCAAACCTGTCAATCATTTCCTCCATGACTTGTGGCTTATTATCATATTACCAAAGGCCCTCCCCGCCCCCAAAATTATTTTAAAATGTACTTCAGTTTTATCTTTGTGAATGTTCCAGTATTTTGTTTTGTTAATTTCCAAACCTTTTAATTATCTGGAATTTATTTTTGGGTTGGATTGAGATAACTTTGCTTTTTCCCCTAAGGATATTCAGTGATACCAATAACTTTTATTAAATAATCAATACATTCTCCCACTACATTGAAATACTAACTTTACTATATAAGTTCCCCTAGGTCTAGGGGTCTATCTCCATTATCTGGTTTTTTTTCTGTATCAGAACCACAGTGTTTTTAATCACTAAAGTTTTATAGGTAGTTTTTATAGCAGGTAGAACAAGTAATTTTTTTCTTCATAATTTTCTTGGCTATTTTCCATTTGTTTATTCTTCTAAATAAATTTTAGGATTAGTTTAACTAGTCCCCTCCCCCTGTAACAAATGTTCTTTCTTGGGATTTTGATTGGTATTACATTAAAATTATAGATTTATTTTATTTTATTTTTTATATGTTCTTATTGATTTTAGAGAGAGGAGGGGAGAGAGAGAGCGAGAAAGAGAGAAAGAAAAACATTGATCAGCTGCCTCCTGCATGTATTTACTCCAATTGGGGATTGAGCCCGAAACCTAGGCATGTGACCTGACCGGGAATCAAGTCTGTGACCTTTCAGTGCAAGGAACAACACTTAACCAACTGATCCACACAGGCCAGGGCAATTATAGATTAATTTTAGAAGACCACACATCTTTACCAGTATTTAGTCTTCACTTCCAGGATCACGGCATGTGCTTCCCCATTTTTAAAGTTTTCTTTATGTCCTTTAGGAAGGTTTTATAGCTTCTTCATAAATATCCATTTTTGCTAAGTTTATTTGTATTTTATTTTTATGCCAATTGTAAATGGGACTTTTATGTTAATAGGAAGGCTAAGGAAGGACCACTCTTGCTATCCTTCAATATAACCTATTTGGTTATGATTGTTTCTAAATATCATTTGACTTAATTTGCTGATATTTTATTTAGCATTTATTCCCAAGAGAGGTTGGGCTATTTTTATCCTTTGAAGGATTTTTATAATAAAGTTTGTAAGTTTATAAATGAATTAGGGAACTTGCAATCTTTACCTTCCTTTAGAACTGCATTATCCAATACGGTAGCCACTAGCCATGTGCAGCAATTGAATATTTGAAATATGGTAAATGCAACTGATTATCTAAATTTCTAATTTAGCCCTAGCCGATTTGGCTCGTGGATAGAGCGTTGGCATTGGCCTACTGGCTGAAGGGTCCTGGGTTCGATTCTGATCAAGGGCATGTACCTTGGTTGCAGGCTCCTCCCCAGCCTGGGCCCGAGTCGGGGTGCGTTCAGGAGGCAACCAATCGATGTGTTTCTCTCACATCGATATTTCTCTCTGTCTTTCCCTCTCTCTTCCACTTTCTAAATATCAATGGAAAAATATCCTCAGGTGAGGACTAAAAATATAAAAAAATAAATGTCTAATTTAATTTAACTTACATTTAAATTTAAAAACTGATCCTCGATTCAATTACTGGAAAGCTTAAGCATATTTGGAACAACATGGATATGTGAATCTACCTTTCAACTGTAAATGTCATGAAACCTAACTCTTCAGATATCAGTATTTCTGATAAAAATTTAGCATCTGAATTGAGATGTGCTATAAGTGTAAAATACACAGTGGAGTTCAAAGACTTAGTTTGAAAAAATAACAAAATATCACATTTATAATTTTTATATGATTACATGTTGGAATGATACTTTTTATATATTGGATTAAATAAAATATATCACTAAAATTAATTTCACCTGTTTCTTACTTTTTTATGTGGTTACTAGAAAATTTTTAATTACATATGAGGCTCGCATAATAATATTGACACTATTGCTCTAAATTTTTAAATAATAGCAATTATCTGATCCTTAATATTTCCTAGGACTACACTTGTTTTTTATAACTACATGTTGTCCCATCAAATGGATGAACTAAAATGTGCTTAATTAATCTGTTATTGTTATATATTTAAGTTATCCTTTCTCCCTTTTTTCTTCCTTTCTTTTCACAATTATGAACAATTCTGTGTTTAACAGATTTGTGGCTGTATCTTTTCGTAGGGAAATAACATGATCAGATTTGATTTTTGAAAATCACGTTGGTTGAATTGTAGAGAACAGGTTGGCCAGTGAGGAAGCCACTGCCAAAGTTCTGGGAAGATGGGGCTGGTGGAGATGGGAAAAGAATGGGCACTTTCCAGAAATACTTAGAACACAGAGTCAATAGGACTTGAAATGAAGTGGATATTGGAATCAGGGTAAGGAAACCATCGAGGATGAGTCCTCAGGTTCTTGGGCAACCAGAGGTTGGTGAGACAGTCCCTGGATTGAGAATCCTAAAGAAGGACTAGTCTGAAGGAAGACGCTCTTGCGTTCAGCTTTGGAATGGTGAGTTTAACATGCTCTTGAGGCATCCAATGGAGAGGTGGACAGGTCTAGAGCAAGAGGAGAGGGAGAGGATGAAGAGTGAGAGTCATTGGTATATAGATAATACCAATGGGATTGTCTGGGGAGAGAATGTAGATTGAAAGAGCTGTTTGGGGGAGGTGGAGAGACATGACTAAGACCAAGCATTGAGTAACATCACTATTGAAAGCCAGGTGGAGAAGGAGGAGGCA